TTTTTGTGGGCTAGTTGATTTCTGTTCTCTGAATTTTTGTAAGTGCTTTTCTGAACTTTTTATTTAAAAAAGAAACTGATAATATGGAGCCTAAAAAGAGGAGTGTCGAGAACTGTACTCACCATAGAAACCAAGTAAGAGATAATAGCCAAGGTAGAAAGTGGGCACAAGATGTCTGATGTTGCTAGGCAGTATGTCTACAGTAGGCACAAACTTAGCTATGAAAGATATATCAAGAAGTCTCAAGCTGCTAATGGAGTAATGAAAATCACATCTGAGAAATAAAGAGCATTTTAGAGCTCGTAATGGAACCTGAAACTGATTTGATGACAGAAGAACTCCAAGAACTCTCAAATGAAGAATACCAAGAAACTCAGCAAGATGTGTTTTCTTTTGAAAAAGAGGAAGACAAAAGAAAACCAATGTCGACATCTGCTACTAAAGATTTTTTGAAGTAGTAGGAGGATGTCAGAACAATGATCATCCAAGTATCATCCAAACCAGAATCAGGTTAATGGAGTTGGGGATCTCTACAATTACAATACTATTAATTACTTCTGAAAAATCCTGAAAGAGAAAAGCAATCAACATTGGACAGATTCTTTAACCCCCACAAACAGAAAAAAAACATGACTAAAAAAAAAGCAAGACTCATATATATGTATTTTTACTATTACATATTAATAAACGTAGTAAAAAAGAATATATTTTTATTTTTTGGAGTCTCCAGAACAAATTAATCAAATTCCCATAAAAACCTATGGTAAATCGATAATTGGTTAACGAACAAAGTCTTGGAATGCATTACGTTCATTAACCTATCACCCACTGTAAAAGCTTTTACAATAAGTCATACATTAAGAAAGACTAACAATTAAATTGTAAATGTCATACTGTTATTATCATTTCTATTAATAGTAAGCTATCATCCTTGTTTTCTTACTCCTAGTTTTGATTTTGTAAAAATTTAGGGTAGTATAGAAAAATTAAATAAACCAAAATTTAAGATTTGAAAGAGAGAGAGAGGGACTATCATTTCCTATTACTTTTAAGAGAACCAGGAGTCATAAAAGATCAATTATGCAAATAAATAAAGCTTAGTTTCCACAATACCAGGAAAAAAAAAAACATGATGTCACCTCCTACTAAAAATTTCAAGCTGAACAGATTCCAAACAGAAAAGAGTTAAAAAATGTTTCTACTTTTCTTTTGCATTGTACAGTACATTCCATTTTTATACAATACCAATTGGAGAAGGATACTTTGACAATGTAGTTTTTTTAATTGCCAACAACATTATCAAAGTATCATCATTCATTTTTTGCTTGATACTATTTATGTTATTGGCATTGAAAAGTTTTTGAGAGATTCTATGGTTAATCTCTAGTAGAGCAGAAACACAATAAGAACAGAAATAGATTTTTTTTGATAATTCCATTTCTGACATATGTTTCTGGTTCTTGGTGATGTGGAAACAAAGATTAGGATTACTGGAAGAAGTGGTATATTAAATATCATTAAGCTTTTAATCAAATCATTGAATTCAAATTTAATTAATCATATTTTTAAATTCTTTAAGCATTTTTAAAATATTTTTGTTACATACTTTTGCTAATGATTTGTGCATAAATGTTCAACATGATGATTTAGGAATAAAAATTTATAAACTATAAACCATCCAGTCCCAATTGTATTTGTAAATTCAAAGTTTGTAGTTTTCCTTCTAAAATTAATATATTTTGAGGCATAATATTAATATATTGATATTAATTTTAAGAAAGAAATTTTAGAATATGGATATGTTCCTGTTAATGTAAAACAAAGACGAAAATACAGAGTATCTAATATAGATTTTATAGATAATATAGCTATAGAAAAAAATAACATAAATTAATACATTTTTAAATAAAATTTGTTTAAAACTGAGTTAATTCTATAAAAAGCAGATAATTAAGTCATTTACACCTACATTTCTTTTTACACAGTATGAAAACAATTCGCTTTTATATTCAATAAATGCAAAATAATATTCACATAAATAAAAATTTTATATAATTAATTACTAATATAAAAAAAACTGATATTAAAATATAATGTAAAAACAAATTTTAATTTAAAAACTTCAGTTTTTAAATATTATTTGATGCATTTCTTATGTTTTTATGTACAATATTAAAACATCCAATTTAAAACAGCTATTTTCTCTTATAAATTGGATTAAAACAAGAAAAAAAATTAAAAAAGAAATCAATATTTACCGACTAGGACTAGCTTTTGGTGAATCACTACTTCCAACACTTCCCACCAAAGTTACAGTACTTGCAGTAGCACTAAGATTTGTGGGTGTACTAGGATTACTAGCCTCTGCTAAAGTATCTGTAGATTGAGATGGCGGTACTAATTTACTTGGTTCTGCACCTGAGTCTTGAGACATTTTATCTATTGATTGACCTGAAATAGTTTCATCAGAAACACCACCAGGTTCAGGAGTTGGTGGTGGTGGTACTGGCACACAAATTGGTTCTGGACTAGGAGAAGCAGGAATACTCTCTCGGGTCCTTCTCAGAGCTGATTCCCTTAGTTGCTGCTGCTGTTCTTCTTCAACTAATTTTCAAAAGAATCAATAATTACAGTAACTTATTATAGTATTACTTTAATCTTATATTTTAAATTTACATAGAAATTAGATTTTCAAAAAATATTTTATCAAATATAAAAACACTAACATTTTCGATGACTAAGTCTCCAATGCTGCTGATTCCTTATCACCTGTGATTGCTGAAAATACCCTGAGCTTGCATCAATGGAATCTCTTGGAGCTTCACTAATATCAGACATCATGCTTCCAGTACTGATTCGTCGAGAATAATCATAATCAGCTACTACAAGTCCTAACTCTGTCTGCCCGTCTCCCGGTATAGCATCCAATGATCTAAAAAGATTTGGTGTTCAAATCTTAAAAAATTGTTTGAATTAGCATTTTGCTAATTTATATAAAATTAAAATGATTAATTAAAACTTACCCTGTTGAATCTTGAAGTCCAGGACCAATTGCATTTAACTGTGATTCTGGATTATAATGAACTTTTTTAAGTGCTTCTAGCACAGTAACACCATCAGTGAAAACACGATATGTTAATAAAAAAGTATTCAGAAAATCTATGCTTAGGAAACGTAAATCTGTCAGACGTTCAAATAACCTTTCTGGACTAGCATAACGAATCTGTAAAGAAATTATACTATGAATATAATTCAATTTGTAAAGTGCATTACATTTATAGTAGTAATCAAAAAGATGCATAACTGCCCATCATTCACTAAACATGATGCAAAATTTAACCCTTTACCAGTATTTCTTTAATATTAATATCAAAATTCAACCCTATTATATATGCTGCTTTTCTACTTTCATATTATTAATTTCTCCAAACTTTTTTTACATTTGAACTTTAATTCTGTACTTTAAAATTTTTAAACTTATATCTTAAAACAGATTATAATATAGGTATCCCTCATACAACACAGTACTTCTACATCATGGTTTCCCTCTAACACTGAAAATTGGAGATATCCCAGTACAACACAACTTCTGGTTTCACTAACACTGTTTTGGAAATCCTCCTACAAAATTTCAATTTCTAAGTATAAACTTTGTTATTCAATATTTTTTTTATTTTTGCATTTTTTCTATTTTAATCCCCTCAAGATGTTAGAAACATTGATTTTTAGAAAAGAAAATTAATTTTATATTTATATATTTATATTTAACATATATNAATTAAATTTATAATATAGGTATTTTGTATTATTAATAAACAAAATTATTTGCTTATTTTTCACTTATGTAGAACCTAACCCTATACCTCACTGTAAATATGGGTTCATTTTACACCGATTCAATTTGTGCCAGCTTTTGTAGGAACGGAACTGCAGCATAAACTGAGGGCTACCCATATTTATTTTTTCAATTATATTGTGACTGCTATGAATTAATAGTCACAATATAATTGAAAAACCAAATTTTAATTAAAAAAGATTTTTGGAAAATTTTGTGTTGGTTTTTCTTTTTTTTTTTTTTGGAGGTGCCTGGGTCTATTGGCTCTCTCTGGGTGCACCTCTGCTGCTAATGTTTGTAACCATTGTATTCTTTTTGCAGCCATGAAATCCATTCTTTTTATGTCAATCCAAAAAGAAATAAAAAAAATTATATGAAAAGGTTAAAAAAAGTTATAATTAGAGACATTGTTAACAAACAAATTTACAGATATTAAAAGAATTTTTTTATAAACATAATACTTACCACCCCTTACTTTTAAGTAGTTCATAACATTTGGAGCTGACTGACTCGGATGCATAGGAGCAGGCAACTGACGTTGTTGCTTTTCAAGAAGAGTGCGTTGAATTTGACTTGCATTGATCACTGGTGGTGTTGGTGGTGTGGCAGGAGTAGCTGTAGCTGGAGGAGTGGGTGGAGGAGTTTCTTCAGGTGTACTAAGTGGTGCCATTTCATGAGATGGGAGACGTTGTGGAGCATTTTTTCTTAAAAATTGAATGAATTACTTAATGATTATATTAAATATAACAAAAACAAATTAAATACACAATAACCATATTAAATTCTCAATTAATTTTGGACTATATCTAAAACCAGTGTACCAAATTAGACAATTATAAACTAAACATCTTATAAATTAATAATGAAGATATAGGAATTAAAATGCTAATAATGAAAGTGTACATTCAGAATGTTTTCAAAATAAGCCAAATAAACTAAGCTATTTTTGGGCTACAAGACCAATTAATGTAACAAATTTGATCTAAAGGTAAGCAGTTATGTTGTCATCTTGTAACAATATTAACCAAAAATAATCCAATCTGTGTGGCTTATTTAACTGTTTTATATGTACAGAATAGTAGTTATTTATATACAGTGGAACCTCAGTATATGACCTTAATCCATTCCTAATGTTTGGACTTATACCGAATAGGACATATACCAAACCAACCTTTCCCATAAGAAGTAATGTAAAAATGATTAATCTGTTCTCATGAAAAAAAAAAAATGGCTGGATTTAAACACCTCGCTTTCCTGGTTAGTTCCTGCTTGATTTTTCACGAGATCAGCATGTATCTTTTTAGCTTTCTCGCAAATAATTGCTTCTGATACGATGTCGCCAGCACACTGTTTTTCAGTTATCCAAAGCAAAAGCAATTTCTCAACATGATCTAATGTCTTCGATCTCTGTTTAGAAATTGATTTAACTCCTTTCGCAACATTAGCAGATTTAATAATGTCTTTATTTTTTGTGATTGTCCATATCGTCGTTCTTGGAATATGGTATGCAACAGTTAAATCTCGAACATGCATACCACCTTCATATTCCTCAACAATCTCTTTTTTCAGTTCCATTGTGATTCTAGTCATTTTTTTAGTTTTCTGTTGTTTTTCATTTGCCTTTTTGCAATTCATGATTAATAAAAATAATAAAATTTTACTTACAAATTAAGATCAGAATAAATTTAACAAAGTTATAAACTGCTGCACCACGAACGTCTAGCCTGGTCTACTACACCGATAGTGCTACTTGTTCATAGATGACGCGTATAATTGAATTAAGTCATATACCGAACAAAAGTCGTACACTGAGCAAAATTTGTTTCATCCAAACAGGACATATTCTGAATTGAACGTATTCTAATGCAGACGTATACTGAGGTACCACTGTATATATATATAAATAAATGAAGAAATTAATAATTTTTAAAAACTCAAAAGCAAAAGAAGCATCTAGTTGATAGACAGTGCAGAAACTACTTCTGTCACTTGGAAATAATTATATATGCACTGTACTGTATATAATAGAATTTATTTAAATTATGATGTTAATTTAACTTAAATTCTTATTTGTTTATTTTTATTTTGAAAATTGTTTTAAAATTTTAATATTTTAATACATTTGAAACAATAAAGTTAAAGTAAAATGGAAAAAGTTAGGTTACCTAAATAAACATAAAATTGTTTGTGGCCGTCGGCCATAATATTGTATAAAATATATTAATTTTAGTTAGTTTTAAGTTTCTTTGTTCCTTTATTTCTGACTTTTCTAGAACCTTCCTTTCCAACCTTTTCCCTTGGGTGGGATTAACAATCCCAAGAAATGGGAATGGAACAAAGGGTGAAGTGGGACCCTAAGGCAAAAAAGAACAAAGGAAAGAGCAGTCGAGGTGGAACTCTCGAGGAGGACTGACGAGAGAAGGTAGTGCTCTGGATCGCGTGTGAGACGATCGGAGACTACGAAGCTAAAGGAGAAGTCTGGGCTCGAAGTCCGTAGAATAAGGACGGAGAAGTGGTGCAGCGTCAGATTGAGTGTAAAACAATTAGAAGCTACGAGGAGCCAGCGAATCGATAGGAAGAAACTCTTATAATAGAATTTTAGAGGAAGCCATCGAAAGAATCGTACGAAAAGACATAAAGGAAGGACGAGAGACAACGTTCCACGGAAAGGTCCACGTGGTGT